CAGCTGCCGACCGAAGACGCCCTTGCGGCTGACGGCACCCGAGGAGGTCATCGTGATCAAGGGCGCGATGACCCCCCGCTCGCGAGGTGCTCCAGGCCAGGCCCTTTGCTAACCTCACGCCATTGCCACGCTTGAACTGCTCGCAGGAGAATGCGCTTGACCGACCACGGCCCCAGCTCGAAGACATGAATGTCGTAGCCCTCATGCGTGCGCCACAAAGTAGGGCTCAGCACCTGCCAGCCAACTCTCTCGAGCGTGAGCCTCACCGCGCTGAAGGGGCCCTTGACCTGGCACCAGCTCGCCGCCTGGCAGCAAGTGAGGCCGTAGGCGATGATATGCTGCGGGATCCAGCACTCCCACGCCGCGCGCAGCATCATCAGCACTGGGAGCAGCGTGGCCCTGATCATCGGGTCCAGCATGGGCGTCAGCATTAGCGTCAGCGTGCGCGAGCGACCGTCAACGCTGGGGGCCACTGCCTTGAAGGTCGCCGTGCGCAGCGTGTCCAGCTCCATGGTGGCGCAGCCCGTGACCGCGACGCCGTAGGACACGCTGGGCTCGATCCCAGCACGGGCCACCTTGCGCACGGCCTTCTTGCGCCCAGCCCCAGTCTTCAGGATGGCCACGCGGCGCTGGCGTAGCCCTGCTTGAACCAGCTTCTCCTGCCGCACCTTGCGCACGATGCGCCTGCCGCAGGCGAAGTCGATGCCCAGGTTGCGCACGCCCTTGACGGAGAGCACGCCGAGGGGACGGCGTAGCCGAGCGGCCAGGGCGTGCCGGCCTGCTGGGAGGTTGGAGAGCGCCCTCGACTTCTTGACCGCCGCGTTGAGGTCGACGTCCAACAGCAGCATCTTGAGCTCGAACGCTGCTTCTGCCACCTCCTTAGTCACACGCACGAGCCCGCCAACTCGGTGCAGCATGAGGTCGTCCACGACGACGGCCAGAGAAACTGTCGGGTGATGTAATACCAGGCGATCCAGCGGCCCGATCAGAATAAGCTTCAGCAGCGCCGTCGCAAAGCCATCACCTGGGAGGATCGACTGCCTGGCCTCGATCACGCTCGAGGCCGCGTTGCCCATGCAGAGTACCCGAGGCGCGCAGTAGAGCTCCAGCGTCAGCTTGAGCTGCCAGAGGGGAAACCCCGTGGCGACGGCGGCGTCCAGCAGCCAGTGGTGGCGCACCTGCTCGAACGCCTTGAGCAGGTCGAGCAGCACCGCCACGGCCACCCACGACTCGGCGTCCCCGCAGTCGGCACCGCGCTGCGTGGCCCACTCGCCGATCGCGGCCTGGTGCCACACCGCGCGCTCGCAGCTGCGGCCAGCAGCTGCCCACCAGTAGGGGCGGTCGTTGTCTTGCTCCCACTTGCGCGCGACGCCTCGGCGCAGCCGCGCCTGCACCCTCGCCAGCACCATGATGACGGCGATGGGCCTGACGCCGCCGAGCCGCTTCTGGATGAAGCCGATCTTGGTTGTCATGAGCGGCCAGGCTGCTTCGCGCTCGACGGCCAAAAGGATGTCGATCAGCACCTCCAGCGCTTCGTCGCACAGCTCGTCTAGCTGCCGCGGCCGAACGGAGCAGAAGGACATGCCCGTGCTGCCCTTGAACGAGCGCAGCACCTTGCGGAGCTCGGGGACCGTGGGCCTGGGCGGCCTCTCGCCGAGGTCGGCTGGCCACTGCAGCCGCACTTGCTCACAGGTAGTCCTCCACCAGCGGCTCCACTCGACCTCCAGCGCCGTGACCTGCTGCCCCAGGTCCATGGGCTCGAACAGCTGCTGGTGGTCGTCGGCGTCCTGGCCGCCCACGGCGTCGCCGCACGGGCTGGAGTCGAACCCGACGGGCAGGCGGGACACCGCATGTAGACCACCTCCACCGCCTTCGGCCTGCTTCTCGACCCAGTGCTGGAACTGGACGGTGCGCTGGGCCATGTCCTTCTCAGCCATGTCGAGCGCCACCGCTTGCGCCCCAGCGTGCAGCTGCAGCAGCTCAGCGGGGGTCAGCGCCGCCAAGCGCAAGTTGCTAAGCAGCGACCACCATGCTACAGCTTGGGGCAACACCTGAGGGCAGGACAGAACCTCGCCAGCATCAGGTGCCGCCTTCACTGTGGCTGGGGCTCTGTCTAGCAGCCTACGCGCACCTCGAAGAGCGTCGAGACGCGCGTTGGGCTGCTCAACGTCGGCGATGTCCCGCAGCAGGCTGGCAGCACGGTACATCCATGTCGCCTCAGCCGAGACCCGCGGCCAGCGGGCGCCACTCACGGGCAGCCGCCGAAGCCAACGTGGCTCCACGGGGCGAGCTCGCCCCTTGTGCTTGAAACTGTCCTCCTCGACCTGGTAGATGTCGATCCACTCGTCCTCGGCTGCGTCGAGGAACCTCTGCCATGCGTCGGTGAGGTTACCCTTGACGTCGGTGCCACCCTTGACCTGATCCCGCACACACTCCTCCAAGTGGCACGATCTTCCCTCACTCACGGGCCCCGCAACGGGCGGCGGTGAGGTCCCACGGGAAACGTCCAGGCACTCCGACTCCTGCGCGCCTGCCAGCACGCTCTGCAGCTCGTGACCGATCTCGGCCCAGCGGTCGCCGTGTGCGACGCGAGCACATCCAGCAGGCCGCTGGACAGGGAAGGGCTTGGGCACTGGCACGACCCGAACCCACGGCCGTTGGCGACACGCCTCCAGCTCCAGGATGACTGGCTTGTGCGGGTAGACGGGCGACCCGCTGACCACGCTGATGCTGGTCACCTTGAGCCCACGCGAGACGATGAACATGTCGATCGTCCGCTTCGACTGCGCACAGGTGGGCTCCAGCGTGTCGACGACGACCGCGTCGAAGAGCCGCAGCACGCCTGACTTGGCCAGCTCCTGCTTGGTACAGTTGAAGTCGCCCCCGACCACGTATGGGCGACCGTACTCGCGCAGCCTGCAGGCCAGGTCGCGCAGCATCTGGGCGTTGAACGCGTTGACGCCGACGCCTGACTGCAGGTAGATGTTGGCCATCACAATGCCGCCTCGCAGCAGCCCCGAGTGATGGAGTACTTGCACGCGCCCTTCTTGAAGCACAGAAGGCCGCGACCCCAGCATGGTGGCAAGGCCATGCTCGCTGCGCACACAAGTGAGCAGCCCCCCAGTTGCCAGCCCTCCAGCCAGCGATGGCACCGCGGCAGCACCACATGCTCGAAGCCCACGACGGCGAAGCTCCCCTTCAGCGTCCGCCGTGCGCGCCTCTCCCAGCCGCGTCTCTTGGAACAAAATTGCGTCGCAGCTCGTCAGCTCCTCGACCAGGCACTTGTCGATGTTCGAATACGCATTCATATTCAACGTGACGACACGCCAGGAGCTGCTGCGGCTAAAGCTTCCGCCGCTTGGCCTCCATCGCGGCGACGTGCTGTTGCTGCAGGTGGGTCTGCAACTCCTCGAGGAACTTCCGCTTCTCCGCGTCCGTGCCGATGAAGTCCTCCGCCGCGGCCTTGAAGGTGTCGCCCGTCGCGAAGGCCAGGGGGTCGCTCTCCAGGTCCATGTCCTCGGACTTGCCCACGGGCTTCTCGGCGGCATCGTCGGCTGCCCCAGCGGCGGCGGCAGCGCGGCCTGCAGGTGCAGCTCCTCCATCGCATCCTCCAGCAGCGACTGGTTCAGGTGGCGCGGCCAGCGCGGACACACCTGCCAGCAGCGCTTGGAGAGGTCCCAGCAAGGACTCTGGAAGTTGGACGCCCTGGCTCTCCGAAGAGGTTCCCACGAGCGTCCTGAGCTTCTCCACATTGCCGAGGATGCCGCTGAGATCTGCTCCTCCAGCAGCTGGCTTGGGCTCGGCGCCGTTGGCGAGCGCGGCCTTCGCCTTGGAGACGGCCTCGTCCAGCTCGAGCTGCAGCTGCGCGACCTTCTCCTTCTGCTGGAACGCTGCCTGCAGCGCCTCCGTAACCATCTTCTGCTTCTTGTTGTAGTCCGCCTTGGCCTGCTGGAGCCGCTTGCAGGCCTCGTCGGCTGCGACCTGCGCAGACTTGACGGACTTGACATCGGACAGCGCGCCCAGCTGCTGCTGCAGCAAGAAGCGCGACTGTCGCAGGCTGTGCTTGTCGCTGGCGGCCAGCGTGACGGACAGCAGCTCGAAGTCGTCGTCACTGAGGGCCATGAAGCGGTCGCGGGCCTCGGGCGAGAGCTTGGGCGGCTGCGCCCCAGAGCCCCCGCCACCTCCACGCTTCGGGCTGGCCATCGTATGCCAAGGGCGGGAGTCAGCACCACCGTCCGCCCACGCCCCACGCGCTGGAGGAGGGCCAGAACGAGGAGCAGGTACACGATTGGTCGGCCTGCAGCCCGTGCACCCCGCTTGCCGACACTTCGCGCGCCAGCCCAGGTTCTTGTAGTGGCAGCGGTTGCAACGCCACCTCGTCCCCTGAGCTGCGTCACGCGCTGCACCAGCGCCAGCTCCTGCCATGGCTCTGCAGCTGGATGCGTTCGAGCCGACAGGAACGGGAAAAGCCTCCGTTTACCCACCGACCCGAGCGCGAGGAGGGTGGCCAGGAGACGATGCCAGGCTTCAAGAAGCCTTGCCTGCCGCGGAATAGCGGTATCCGCTTGGTTCCCAGAGGAACCCTGCATCTTGAGCCAAAATGGCTACGGAGGAGGAGGAGGAGGAGGAGGAGGAGGAGGAGGAGGAGGAGGAGGAGGAGGAGGAGGGGGCCCTCGAGGAGTGGGGCCCGGGAGGCTGCTCCCGCCGACCTCGGGCTTCCGCGGCCCTGCTGCCATGGCCCCCGGGTCGGCTACACGTAAGAGTGACCCTTGGCAAGAGGGACGTTTGGGGCGCGGCTTTCGGGGGGCGCGCGGGCGCCGAGCCCAAGCATGCAGGCTGCTAGCGTCGCACCGGACGCAACGATCGGCAAGCTGCGCAGCACATCTCACTCGACTCGTGCCTGGGGCCACTCTTGCGTGCAGCCGACCAGGACCGTCAGAGCTGATCTCCAGCCGGGGGAGCCTTGGGGTCCACCAGGACGCCTCCGCCGGGGCCCGCTCCTGGCCATGCCAGAGGCTGGAACTGACTACGGGAGTTCGTCGCGGTCGCCTCGCGAGGGAAGGTGGCACGGCGCCCAGATTCTCAGAGCGTGTGGTGCGTCGTTGCTCGCGCCTGCGCACCTGGCCGCCCTGGGCTGGCCTCGGTCCGCTCGCTTGCGCCTGCTGGCGCTGTGCCTGATTCTGCTTCTGTTGCTCGGGCTCGAGCCTCCGCGGTACCGACCTCACCGTTCCGCCCGAGCTTCGCGGGCAGCAGCCCTCCCGTGGCAGCCATGACCGAGTCGTTGATCTTCCGCGGGGAGCTGAAAGCCCACCGCGGCTGGGTCACGTCCATCGCGACCACCTACGAGCAGAGCAGCCTCGTGGTCTCCGGGTCCCGCGACAAAAAGGTGATGATTTGGGAGCTCACCCCAGAGGGCGAGTTCGTGGGCTATGCTCGCCGAGCCCTCTCCGGGCACTCCGAGCCTGTGGCCAGTGTGGTCCTCTCCTCCGACGGCCAGTTCGCCCTTTCTGGCTCCTGGGACCGCACCATGCGGCTCTGGGACCTGAACACCGGCGCCACAGCTCGCACCTTCCAGGGGCACGCCAAGGACGTTAATAGCGTGGCTTTCTCTGGGGACAACCGCCAGATCGTGTCAGGCAGCCGCGACCGCACGATCAAGCTCTGGAACACCCTGGCGGAGTGCAAGTACACCATCACCGAGGACATCCACACGGATTGGGTCAGCTGCGTTGTGTTCTCCCCGTCGGCCAAGATGCCGCTCATTGTGTCGGCGGGCTGGGACAAGCTCGTCAAGGTCTGGAACCTGAGCAACTGCAAGCTGCGCACCAACCTCGTCGGCCACACTGGCGTCGTGTACGTGGCCACCGTCTCGCCGGACGGCTCCCTGTGCGCCTCTGGCGGCAAGGACGGCACGGTCACGCTAAACACCAGAATACGTATAACACGCGTCAGCATCAGCACAAATCATTAAACACTACATATGCACATGCAGACAGGCACATACATTCAGCATGATATTTCGAGACATCTTTATCAACTAAAGAAAGGACGGCACGGCCATGCTGTGGGACGTGAACGACGGAAAGCACCTGTACTCCCTGGACGCGGGCGGGACCATCAATGCGCTGGTCTTCAGCCCGAAGAATTACTGGCTGGTCGCCGCGACGGACACCGCGATCAAGGTCTGGGACCTGGAGAATAAGCACGTGCTGGACGAGCTGCTCCCCACTGCGCCGCCCAAGAACGGGATCCCCTGGTGATCGGCAGGGGCAACGCTGGGGGGGGAGATGCTTGGGGGGATCGACCCCCAATCGCCCTTTCATCAGGGACAGGGGATAGGGGCCAGCGGTTTCTCTATCCGATGCACTGGCGATGCCTCGCTGATTCGAGCTCGGTGTGCCCCCCCCCCCCGAGTCGGTCCCCCCCTAGCGCTGCTTCCCAGGTGCGTGTCGGTGCAGTGGAGCGCCGACGGCAACACGCTCTTCGCCGGCTCCACCAACGGCAGCATCTACGTGTACGAGGTCGGCGCGGAGTGAGGATGGCGCTCCGAGGGCTCCTGAAGGCCGCGGCGGCGGCGAGGTCACGGGCCCACCCCCGCAGCCGACTGCCGGCCCTCGTGCCGGAGGAAGGCCCCAGGGCGCGGGGGTGCGCCGAATGAGCGAGGTGATGATGATTGGGTAGCGAGTTGAAGGGAAGAAAACGACATGAAGAAGGGAAGAAAACGACATGAGCATACAGTGGAAACCCATACCAAGAAACGCCCTGCTTGCCTCCAGGGGCCCTGGGTCTGGGTTTCTCGGGTTATGATGGTTGTTCGATGGAGTACGTGACGTTCCGTTACCAAAAATCAATGGACGTCCTCGGGTTCCAGGGCTGGTGTTCTTGTGGAAGGTTTCTTGTGGTCGAGCTCATAGTGTAGCTCCGCGCGGACTTTCTGGATCGGCGCTGGGTCCCCTGGCGGCGCCTCTGGCGCCGATCCAAGACATCTGCGCGGACGTCTGGAAGTTTCTGCTCGTGCCGCTTCGTGTCAGGAGGGTAAAAAACACACAGACACAGCTAATCGCCGACTCCCCAGGAAAATATGGGAACATATGGGAAGTGGGGGGAAGACGAGAACCCAGAACATATGGAAAAATATGGGAAATCCTGGGATTTGTGTTTTTTCCTTTTGTATCCTTTCAGCGGGCGAAGAGCGGTATACAATAAACTCTTTCGCCGTCGGGGACACCTGCCCCTGGGCGGCTGGAAAGTTTCTACCCCTACGGTGCCACCGTAAGGGTATATACACTTTCCAGCCGCCCAGGGGCAGGCGCCCCCGACGGCGAAAGAGTTTATGTTATACCGCTCTTCGCCCGTTAATCCGGGCCGTGGCCGCGGAGCTGCCGCTCGCGTGGTCGTCCAGGGCGTCGCGGGACAACTTCTGCTCTTGGCCCGGGGACCTGCGGCCTTGGGAAGGGCGGGCGGGCGGCCGCGGGGGTCCACTCCCCGTCCTCGTCAAACATTAAACCTCCTCCTCCCTCCTCCTCCTCCTCCTCCTCCTCCTCCTCCTCCTCCTCCTCCTCCTCCTCCTCCTCCTCCTGGGGCCCCTCGGAATGGCGCTCCTCCGAGAGGGCCTCGCGCCTCTGGCGTGCCTCTCGCCTTGCGGCGGGCGGCCGGCTCGGAGCGAGACGGCGGCGGGGTCCGCCGGCGGAGTGTCGGCGGGAGCAGAGGTGTCAAGTCGGGCCTGCCCAAATAGCCGGAGGAGGAGGAGGAGGAGGAGGAGGAGGAGGAGAGAGAGGAGGAGGAGAGGAGGAGGAGAGGATGAGGATGGAGAGGAGGAGGAGGGGAGGGAGGAGGGGAGGAGGAGGAGAGGGGAGGGGGAGGGAGTAGGAGGAGGAGGGGAGGGAGGAGGGAGGAGGAGGAGGAGGAGGAGGAGAGGAGGAGGGGAGAGGGAGGAGGAGGAGGGAGGAGGAGGGAGGAGGGAGGGGGAGGGGGAGGAGCGTTCAAACATAGCCAAAAATAGTATGGGGACGTTTTTTTTGTTCTACAGTCGGGGCGCTGAGGAAGGAGCCCTTTTCGTTGGGGAGGGGCTCGGTGCTCCTGAGTTGTTTTTTGCAGTTCGCCTTTGGTTTCGCTTGGGGTTTCGATGGGAAAGCGAAGTTGAACTTCTGGGAGAAAGGGGCCTCGTTCCTTATCTAGGGTTCCTTAGGTCAACGCCCTGACTGTAGTATTTTTGAATACTTGTTTTGAGTATGTTTCTCGTTTCGTCCGAAATCGGCCTGCAGGGGGGCGTGCCCGACCTAACAGAAGCGATGGTTCAGTCTTTTTCGATCCAAGGTCTTCGGAGCCAGCTATTGGAAGGGAGGGGCCCGATAGACGGGTTTGGGATCGGAGTGCGACGATAGCGGTTTTGCGGCGCGCCGAGTGATCTCTGCGGCATGCTGGGCTGCCACGCGGCAGGCAGCGCGCGCGGGACAAAAGCAACGCTTTTGTTGCCTGCCTGTCTTATTGCTGGCCTGCTCGTGGTTGTGCTCGTCATTGTGCCTCTACCTGTGCCTCCGCTTGTGCTTGTGTATGTGTACGTGCGTGCGTGCGTGCGTGCGTGCGTGTGTGCGTGCGTGTGTTCGCGCGTGTGCTTTAATTTGCACCATTGCATGTGCCAGTGCCTATGCTTACTCGTGGAAGGCACGCACGCGCGCGGCAGCGAAGGAGGCGGGCTAATTAGGCGTGAAGGAGGAGGATTTTGATGGACGAGGTAGCCGATCAAGAATGAACGGTACAACAGCAAGAGGCTGCGGCATTCTCATCGCGCTCCTCTTAGTCATGCCTCCTTCCTCCAGTACCAGCCTGCACACAGGACTTGCAGGTCCAGTACCAGCCTGCACACAGGACTTGCAGGCATCGCCTGGTCGGTGACTCATGCCCGCAAGTGTTCTGGTCGTCCGCGTCGCGTCGGGATCTGGCTTCAGTTCCGCTGGATGCTCCTTGGGAATGCGACACTAGAGCTCGACCCAAATTATGTTTTCCCGTTTCGTTTTGTTTTCGTTTTCCCCTCGTTCTGTCTTCGCCCAATTTTTGCGCCAAAGCGATCTCGGAACGAAAACGGGCCACGAAATCGCCCAAGACACCGTTCAGGTCGAGCCCTGTTCGACACGCCCCCACGCCCTTCGGGAGAAAGAGAGAGAGAGAGAGAGAAAAAAAAAAAGAAAGAAAGAAGAGACAAAGCGGGTGGCCAGGGTGCTAGAGGCGCTCGGCCCGAACATTTGTGAGCAAGACCACCACGCCCACACCGCAAAACACATGGCCAGATGTTTGAAACACTTGCGGCAGTGGTTTTAAAGTCGGGCATGTCCCTCGACCGGAGGAGTATTCAGAATAGTCAAAAATAGTCTGGTCACGATTGCTCGTGCTCTTTTTTTGTTTTTGCTTCCGTTTCTGATTATTGTTTGACTATTCTTGATGTTGCTTCCGAAATCCGACTGTAGGAGGACAAGCCCGACCTAACGGTAGTTTGCCCAGCGGTCCTTGTGTTCTGGGAAGTCGCGCGCAATCTCTGAGGCGATCTTCGGAAATTTCGCGGAGGCCGCCTTCGCCGAAGTCCATCATGTCGACCTCGCGCAGGCTGCCACCCATTTCCCCGCCACCGTCCGGAACCTTCTGCTTCCCAGCGCAGGCGAACTGGCCCGACGCAGGTACGCCGCATGTCTCGAGACGAGCTTCTCTCCCGCGGAGAGGCATGTGCACATCGAACCCGCAGGCCTGCGCGATGTACCAAACGCAAAAATCCCAATGTGCAGCGACCTCGGGCGCATTGGTAATGACGATAGCCCGCACGATCTGCGCCGTCACTCCAGTGCTTGCGACGAGGGCCGCGCGGCTCGTCAGAGCAACGAGCCGCGATACGTTCGGGGAGCTTCCCGGACGTGAGCTTCGGCTCTGGGCGATTCCGCGCGCGCGCGCGCGCCCGTAGGCCTTTGCGCGACAGGCTGGGCCATGCCGACGAGGAAGATGCGACGTCAGTCTTCCCTTCGGGGCGATCCAGCGGCTCTGCCAGACATGCAGTCGAGACTGACTAGTAGGTCGACCCTGCCAGATCGAGGGTACCCTTGTGTCCTGAGCTCGGCGACCCATGACTTCCCCGTAACAGCTTAAGTCGAGACCTTCTCCTCCTTCCCGACGCCATGATTTTGCCTCCACGTCGACCTCCAGAGGTTTCGACCCATGCCCCCGTGGCCTGCTCTGCATCCTGAGGCCTTCTCAATCTCTGGCGGTCCACGGGGCCCAGGGATGGCCCCCAGAGGCAGAACAGAGCATCAGCCAAGCGTCCGCCGTGCATGATTTCACGACGCGAGGGGGTCTGGGCCTCAGTGGGCCCTGGAAACGACATGGCAGTTCTTTGCAATTTCCGTTTCGCCGTTTTTTTGCCGGTTCTGACACCGTTTTTTTGCCGGTTATGTCGCCGTGTTTTTCCCGCCTCCTGCTCCAGCTCCAATCCTAGAGCCGTTTTTGTTGCCGTTTCCGTTCGCCGTTTTGTTGTAGTTTCCATTTTCCACAGACACTTTTCTTTTTTTGGAAACGGTGACAAAACGGCCTTGCAATTTCCGGGGCCCACTACGGTCTGGGCCCAGCCCTCTGGGGTTTTACGCTGTGAGCAGGCCGGCAGGTCGCGTTGTCACGCCCGCGCGCGCATCAGCGCTCCTGCGCAGCGGGGCGCGTGCGCGCGCGGGAGCGAGATTGTTCTTGCTTCTATCCTCAGGCGCGTAAGCGGTCGTCACCTGGGCCAACCCTCCCCCCCTCCCCCAGGTATCGGTAACGATTTTGCGTGCGGTGGGGGGTGGGGGGCTGGGGGCCCCCCCCTACATGCTGGCGATTGCGCGCGCACTGTGGCGATCGCAGCGCACCCCCGCCCCGACGTGGCCCAAGCGTTGCCATTACGAGGGTAAGGATCGCGACCAGGAGTAGTGACACTAACAATACCATCTTATGAACGCCTTCGACGTCGGCGGTGCGCGGGGGCCCTGGGGGATCGGCCCGAGC